GCACTATTTACAATAGCCAAGACATGGAAGCAACCTAAATGTCCATTGACAGAGGGATGGATAAAGATGTGGTACATATATACAATGGAATATTACTCAGTCATAAAAAAGAATGAAATAATGCCATTTGCAGCAACATGGATGGACCTAGAGATGATCATACTAAGAGCAGTAAGTCAGACAGAAAGATAAATATCACATGATATTACTCATGTGTGGAATCTAATTTTTAAAAATGATACAAATGAACTTATTTACAAAACAGAAACTCACAGATTTCAAAAACAAACTTATGGTTACCAAAGGGGAAACGTTGTGGGAAGGGATAAATTAGGATCTTGAGATTAACATACACACACTATAAAATAGATAACCAACAAGGACCGACCATATAGCACAGGGAACTCTACTCAATACTCTGTAATAACCTATATGGGTAAAGAATCTGAAAAAGAATGAATATATGTATATGTATAACTGAATCACTTTCCTGTACACCTGAAACTAAAACAACATTGTAAATTGACTATACTCCAATAAAAAAAAAAAGATAACTAAAAGTATCTAAGTTTCCTTCCCACTCAGAAAGGGAAAGACAGTAATTGACAGAAAGGGAAAGACAGTAACTGATTTCTGGAGATTACTGCTCACAATCATCATGAGTTACCCTAAACTGGTGTTTGGCAAGCATGCCAAATGGTCATTCTAGAAAGCTAGAGTCAAGAAATCTGGTGTAGGTCTTGCTATTAATTAAAATGCTCTACTCAATGATTTCACCTAAGTGTCTTTGCCCCTTAACTTCCAGCATATGAAAAATGGGTATAATAATAAGCTTTTGGAACCAGAACATTTTCCTCCTAAGAATTATATTTTCTTTCATTAATATTGCTTTAATGTTCATACATATATTCTACTATGCAAATTACTTTTCCAAATTATGAATCAGTCCATATGCATCATGCAAAATGTTCAAATCTCTATTATCTCCACTAAGATGCTTATTCTACTTTAGAGTCTTTCTGCATTTTTACATTAATATGAATAAAGTAAATAGTATTTCTACAAGCCTCATATTTAAAAAATATATTTCTTTGGCGATGTTATGTAACATAAAATAATTATATATCAATGTAGTACTTTTTCAGTTATTTTTATATAACATCGAGATAAGGTTTTTGCACAAAAGACTGGTTTTATTGAAATAAATTTTACATGAGCTATGGACAGTCAATTTATGCGAAAGCCCTCATTTCCCCCCTTTTCAGATATATTTTCCATTTGGCTGTATATAACATATACTGTAGCATGAAATAAAATTCCAAAATCATTTACGTAGTACAACTAATAAATTTGCATTATATTTGTAAAGTGTTATAAAGAAAAATACAATTGTTTGAGGTTCAGTTAAAGTGATTTCTCATTTTCCTACTCTTTCCATCTCTTAACCTACTTCTCAGAGTTTGTCTTTAACTTGAAGCAGTACTCTACTGAAGCATTACTATGTGACTTTAGACTGTTCTGCCTGCTTTATGTCCGTTGAGGATAAAATATTTAGAGTTATGATTAAACCCATTAAGACAAAATATTGGGTGTCTATTAACCCCTCTGGGGGTAGACTGGTTCTTCCGATAAGAAAATAAAAATCACTCTTCATTTCTAGCCCAGATTAACTTCTGAAAAACCCAAATGGCTCGACCATGTTGTACAATATGGTAGCTACACTTGGCTATTTAAATTTAAATGTAATTAAAAATTTAGTTCTTCAGTCACACCAAACACTGTTCAAGAGCTCAAGAAGCACATGCATCTGGTGGTTACTAAATTAGACAGCACAGATGCAGAACATTTCCTTCACTGCATAAAGTTCTACTGGACACCACTGGGCTAGACCATATAGCAGTTGATTCATATATAAATATATGTGAAGATATGCATTTTTTCCATCTTAGTCACAAAACCTACTTGTTTAAACTTAGCTTCAACACATTCACAATCCTGTTTATTTCAGTCCAAGATAATAGAATAAAAATAGATATTTGTACAATTTCTCCAAATCCTACAATGTGATATCAAAGTTCAAAGCCCTGTCATGAATACCTTCTTTGCCAGTGTAAACCCAGTCTCCTGAGCTCCCTCTGGACTGCAGCGTCTTGGCCACAGGCAGAGTTCTCCTGTGGTACCTGCAGAGAAGCCTTGCTAGGGACTCCTCATCAGTGTGGACTAGTCACTCCCACTACTTATATGGCCACCTTGGAGGACAGGTCCCTGGAGGCAAGGCCTCTGCTCTGTGCTCTGGCAGGCGCCCCAGGACCCCCAAGGGGCCCACTCAAGGCAGGCTGACCACCCACGCAGGCCACGCAACGCTTCCCAGGACCCCCAAGGGGCCCACTCAAGGCAGGCTGACCACCCATGCAGGCCACGCAAGGCTTCCCAAGATCCCCAAGGGACCCACTCAAGGCAGGCTGACCACCCACGCAGGCCACGCAAGGCTTCCCAGGACCCCCAAGGGGCCCACTCAAGGCAGGCTGACCACCCATGCAGGCCATGCAACGCTTCCCAGGACCCCCAAGGGGCCCACTCAAGGCAGGCTGACCACCCATGCAGGCCACGCAAGGCTTCCCAAGATCCCCAAGGGACCCACTCAAGGCAGGCTGACCATCCACGCAGGCCACGCAAGGCTTCCCAGGACCCCCAAGGGGCCCACTCAAGGCAGGCTGACCATCCATGCAGGCCATGCAACGCTTCCCAGGACCCCCAAGGGGCCCACTCAAGGAAGGCTGACCATCCATGCAAGCCACGCAAGGCTTCCCAGGACCCCCAAGGGGCCCACTCAAGGAAGGCTGACCACCCATGCAGGCCACGCAACGCTTCCCAGGACCAGCCAGGCCCACACTTGCTCCACTAGGGACACCAGCACACCATCTAAGCCCCATGCCTGGGCAGACAATCCAGCCCTTCTTTCTGCCCTCAAGGTCCAGATTATACCTAAAGTCTTTCCTGAAAGCCTACACTTGTAAAATATAACTTAAAACATGAAAATAGCCATTTGTATAAACCCAAGGAAAACTGTCCTCAGTAAAAGAAATAATGCATTAAAACTCTTTCAAAATAACAAAATAAAATAAAGTCTCATCTGACTAGTCCAGTATAAATACTCTTCTCACCATCCCTTTATCTCCAGATTCCTGAAAACAATGCAATCAACTTCAAATTTTGGTCTTTAAGTGATAATTTTTAAAAAATAACACATTTTCTAAAATATTAAATGTGCATTATTTGGAAACAAGTGTATGCAAATGAACCTTTAAATATCAATATATAAACCCATTTATCAATTCTCCAGTCCACAGAGAGAGGTACTCACGTATTTGAAATTTGAAAATCATCTTTCCTAACAACTATGACCATGGTTTCTAGAATTAGTCTTTAAGCACAAGCCATTATTCCTCTATGACATGACCCACAACAGGAAGATTTACAGCTCCACAAGTCAGGAAAATTCTGTAGTCTTCTGATGGATGGCATCAAAGCTGAAGGCTGAAAGATACTTTAGTGGCATAGCTGGGAACAGATTCTGTAACAAAAAGAAAATATATACTCAACCATTCCCCATTTTATTATGAAGTGCAACTATGTCAAAACACAAATTATTACCACTTCATACTTCAAGTATAGAGATAAATGCATTTATTACCACTAAGTCAACCACCGCAAATGTATAGTCTGGCGTTAGAGATATTTAGATCTAAGAAGAATACATTATTATTAACTCTCATTCTTTTGCAATCTTTCCAACCAACTCACACAGCTACATCAATATCTTGGAAACTGTATGATCCTAAAATAATAAAAGCTGACAAAACAGAAATAGATGGCCAAGGATTTGGGACTGGGGATGCCAGGTGGAAGGGAATACGGTTTACAAGAGAAGTTTGGGCTATTCCTAAATGAAGCACCATCTTATTAATAACCCTTTTATCATACTTACTCTTCCAACTGGTTACTCCCCACTCTCTCTCTCTCTCTTCACAGCCAATTTTTGTCAAGGTATGGTCTATACCAATGGTTCTCAAGGTGTGTTTCTCAGACTCAAGGCATCAGTATCACCTGGGAACTTGTTAGAAATGTACTTTCTCAGGCCCCACCCAAACCTGATGACTCAAAAACTCTGAGGGTGGGGCCTGCCGCTGATTCTCATGTGCACTAAAGTTTGAGAACCAGCGAGGGGCTTCACTTCCTCATCATTCTTGAATCATATCAGGTTGGATGTCCATGTAGACTCACTAAATCTACTTTTTTTCCTTAGAGTGATGAACTCTCTAACTCAGACATTAGTCTTATGGGGAAGGAGGAAAAAGAGAGAAGACGACATGATGAAGAAAAAAGAAACAAACTTAAAAAAATTCAAAGCATATGTCCAGCATAGGTTGAACTATTAAGAAATCACCATTTTCGCAGGTCAAAACCAGCTGAATAAAAAAAAAAAAAAAAAAAAAAAACAGCTGAATATTGGCAATATCATTTAGTTCAACCTACTATGAATATGTGAAGTATAGAATTATGATAATTATTTAGAAATAAATGAATGGAATAAAAATCTATCATTACTAATGTTAACTTTGAAAATCAAATTATTTTATTGCTGGCCACATAGATCGAAAGATTAATACTTATTTTCTCTAATTTGTTCTTGCATTTTTATATAATAGCACTATAATACAATTATGAAGAAATGAATAAAATACAAGAAGGTTTTTCACAAGAGGAAAGTTATATGACCCAAAGATAAATTTTGATAAATAAATGGTTCTGTTATTTCAGTTTCATGTTTAACATAAATTTCTAATTTATTTCATAATATTTCAGCATGCAAAATTAGGGATGGACAAACAGATTAGAGGTAACTATATAGAAATTTTCTTAATCTAATTGAAAAACTTTTAATTTGCCAATAAATGGTATTTTTCATTAATGTGATGAGACATGCATGTTTTCTGAGTGTGACTGATGGAACCTGCCCCCAGGTGCTTGTCTTCAAAGTCTTGGGGGCCAGGGCTACCTCCTCCCTAAACCCACATGCGTGACATCTTTCTTTCAGGTCTGCACCTGGCTTATCAGAAAAAGAGACCTGAAAAATTAAGGGGTAACTTGCAGGCATCCACACCCAGAAAAGAGGTGGGGATTAGAAGAACAAAGGCTGATTTATGCCTTTTCCTGTGTCTAGATGTGACAGAAGGAAGGGGTTCTAAGGCTTCTGAAACACTTCGGAAATAGCCACTGGGGAAAACACTTCTTTCTCAGCCCTTTCCTGAGGTACTGTGACTGCCCTGTATCTTCACCACCCTATGGGAAACCAAAACTAAATGCATCTACTTACTAATCTGCCATCTTGTTTCTTCCTTTTGTGATTTTTACGTAGGTGTACCTTGATTTATACGAGATGACTTTTTTAAAGTTGAATTTAAATGGATTTTGACATGGAATCTTCTTTTCCCATTAACTAGAATACTGTTTTATCAATATCATTTCACTGAAAAGCCATGTAAAGTTAGTAACACAATCTTCACATTTTAAGTGCTTGTTTCCCAGCCTCTCTGTCACATGGTTGTAGATGTATTAAGCATGCTAATGCACTAGGAAAATTTCATTATTTAAGGAAAGGCAATGTATCTTTTTTTTTTTTGGTAAATAGAAAAATAATTTACAAATTATTTTTATTTATTGGTTATTGCCCCTAACCAATTAACTTTTTTTTTTTTTTTTTTGCGGTACGCGGGCCTTTCACTGTTGTGGCTTCTCCCGTTGTGGAGCACAGGCTCCGGAGGTGCAGCCTCAGCGGCCATGGCTCACGGGCCCAGCCGCTTTGCGGCATGTGGGATCTTCCCGGACCGGGGCACGAACCCGTGTCCCCTGCATCGGCAGGCGGACTCTCAACCACTGCGCCACCAGGGAAGCCCCCAATTAACTTTTTGTCAGTTTGACTTATAGCAATAAATGTGTTGCATGAGTGAATAGAATACTATACACTCATTTTAAATAATTTTGAATATGAGTAACCTACCTCTTTCTTTAAGATCTTCAATATAGGCTTTCATAAATTCTTTATCAAAATGTTGGCGATCTTGTTCACTTTCCATCGTTTCATCTTGACACTGGGTATTCTCAATAGGATTGTCTATAAGACTTACAAATCTATTCAAGAGAGTATGGAAAATATCACATTTTCACCTATGTATTTGTATTGTGCAAAAATCCTCTCAGAAGAAGTCAAACTTTGTGGCGTTAAATCCCTAGTTCTCACTTCTTAGAAGTCACAGTTAACCACATAATATGTGTCACCAGTGGAATTCTACTGTGCAATAATCCAACAGGATTATGGAGTCAGTTTACAGCAGAGACTGTACAGAGGCTTGATGGGGAAATGACAGTTACTTAGCCACAGACAGAGGACAGCGGGCAGGAAGCCATGAGGTGAACAATAACATTTAGTGTCCCCGTCATATATGAGTCTTACTATGTTTGTTTGATATTACTCCCAATTAGTGACATCAAACTCTAAAATGATGTGGCTACATTGAAAAGGACTCATAAAATCACCACCAAGAAGGTATTTAAAAGATGGACTACTGTGACAAAAAAAGAAGCTAAAGGAGACAATCCAAAATGGCATTTGATCTAATTTCTTCACAATTTTGAAAGATTCAACAGCCACTGACCCATCCAGGCCAGCGGTGATGGGAGTGCTGAGTATCCGACCAGGGAGCCCTGGTGCCTTCAACCAGCAGGTAGCATTTGTCCAGAAATCCTCTGAGCTCTACCTCCCCATGCCATTGGCCAAAAACTACAAAATCCTGTAAGAAGGCACCAGAACTTCTTGTTCTCAGAGTACGAGAACCATCTAATCTGGTTCCTGAGACGGGCACACAGGCTCCAGGTGCTTCTTGCTCTTCCCTTGTGTCTGAATGGGTCTCTACTGGGCTCTCTGCCTACTCACTTTAAAGGTGTGGATGAGTCACTAAGGGCTGTCGGGAGCTCCACCAAGTGGTCCCCGCTGACGACTAACAAGGTGAGCTTCTTTAAGTTAAGCAAGGCAAAGGGAAGATAGGTCAGCTTGTTCTTATACAGGAGAAAGGTCTGCAGTTCTCGTAGCCTAAGAAGATGTAAAAGGGATTAGAACACAAAGACTTAGCCTCATAGCAAGAAAACCAAAGTGAATTATAAATAAATTCTAGTAGGAAATCCCTATTTCGTTTATTTTTTAAGTGACTCATAAGAATAAACTAACTTTACAATTTAAATGAATAAAGTCATGCCGGGTGACATGATTTGGGTTTCTTTTTTAAGTTTTTACTGACTTAATTGACAGTTAAAGGCAGAGATACAGCAGCAGGATAAGCAAATTACACAATATAAAGTAGGTAAAGATGGAACTTAAAAAATCAATATATTCAAGTGTCTACTGCATTCCCAAGGGTTAACAGGTAATGGGAAAGAAATCATATTAGAGTTGGAGTGAGAATAAACAAATTCTGGCAACATATTTCCTTTTGTATGTCTTGAAAACACAGTTACTCTTCTCTCATCATATTTTGACTTTAAAACAGGAGTAAACCTGCAAAGTGAAAAGGAAATGAGAAAAATATGCTCCAAATATGTTTTACTCTGTTTTCCATTTTGTTCTAACTCAGTGTCCCTCTCTCTAGTTTTTTCTTTCATTCATTTGCAAAATTTTGACTGATCCCACAAAATATTTCACAAAGTTCCCCTTGTGTTTCAAACTAAAACAATTCCCACTTAGCCTCATAAACCAGGAAAGTATCCATACACATCATATGTACCAGGAGTAGAGAAAGGTCATATGAGACAGCATTTGGGACCAAGCCATTTTCGGTTCCTATGTCCCAATAGCTTACTTATGCTACTTTATAACGAAGACTGTGGATTCCAGGAGGCCAGACAGTTTGTTTCATTTACCACTTTGAACCCAGCCCACTCTCTGGGCCTGCCTAGTAATATTGGTAGAATGAATGAATGAAGGAATCGTATATGATTTAGTATAATAGTTACTTTTTAAACAAGAAATAGCTGTAAGGATATAATTTGAAGACATTACTAAGCATATCAATCAAAGCAGTAAATGAAAAAAAAAAAGCAGTAAATGAAACTAATAAAAATTATCCTGATATCCCAAATAGAATAATATGTTTTGATTCTGTACATAATAAATTTACTTTTCTACTTCTGGGGAGGAAAGGAAAGTTAATGTTCCATTCTATTGAGAACTAAAGTAAATTAAAGATGTGTTCAAACTATATATATACATATATATATATATATATACACACACACACACACATATATATATATATATATATATATACAGTTGACCCTTGACCAACACAGGTCTGAACTGTGCGGGTCCACACATTACAGTACTGCATGGGTCCATGGTTGGTTGAATTCACAGATGCAGAGGAGCCCCAGGTACGGAGGCTGACTACAAATTACATGCAGGTTAACCACCTCGTTGTTCAAGGGTCAACTGTACATGTATATGTATGGTGCAGACTGGGAATTGTCTTATTCTATAAAGAATCAAACTGATTTCCTGGAAACAAGAAACTCTGGAAAATTAGTTGATCTCACAGAACATTCACGTGTTATGCATGTTTAAAATGTTAGTGACTAATTCATATACCTCACCTTCAGAATGCAAGTAGCTACCTGTCTATGTCTTGTGGCAGGTCACTCAGGTTATTGTTGCTGATATCCAACCACTGCAAATTAGACATCCGCAGGACACAGATCGGGACACTGGAAAACTTGTTTCCTGAGATATCTACGAATGAAACTTGCTTCAAATTACTTAACTAGGAAGGAATAACAAAATATTCTAATTACTTTTTAAGAGTGGGAATTAAGTTCAACTAATAATTTTGAGACTGATGTCTCTTCCCAAAGGCATTTCTATGAACATATGCAAACCAGATCAATATAGTATGTACGTTGAGCATCTACTAGGTGTCATTCACTGTGCTACACGCTGGGGGTGCTAGGATGAAAAGCACACAGTGGCTGCCCTTGAGGAGTTTATACTTTCATAAACAAGCAATGCAATTTTATGTAGTAAGAACTAGTGTGAAGTTTCCAATTTGCAATGTTCAGTAACACAAAGAAAGAAGTGGTTAATCTGCCCAGCATCACAGTGAGGTGAGGGTCAGGGGTCAGGAAAGATTTCACAGAGAATGGAGTATTTGAATTGGGTCCTGAGGTTCCCTGACAGATGGAAAGGTAGGGGAGGAAACTCCAGGTGGGGAACAGCATGTGCAAAGTCAGAGAAGACAGAAAGTGCAAGCCTCAAAGAGTAGGATGACCTGGGGAAGACTGTCTTAATGGGTTTTGGCAAATCTTCAGAAGACTCACACGTGAACTGGTAAAGTGATGTGGCAAATGATCAGAAATCTCCCCTGTTACTCTGAAGGGCGTGCCCAACAGGACTTACTCATGGAGTGGACATGGGGCATGGGAGCAAGAGAGGTCAAGGGTGAGTTGGCTTGCTTCCAGCCTGCACATCTGAGAGAGGACTGGGTCCCTCTCTCAGATGGGGAGGACTGGGGAACGAGCAGCTTGTGTGGGGAATCCTGAGCCCTGGCTGGGCACCCTCCCCGGGACCACTGCCCAGCATTTCCTGGGTGACATGGGTGCTAAGAGCGGAAGTGGCCTCTTCCTCCCACCCGGAAGTTTTCAGGAAAGGAAAAGAATACGCCTTCTAGGACTAGATAGAATCTGTGGCCATGGCCTTGTCAGAGCCTCACTAGTGATACCATTTTTAGCCTATTCATTACCAGCAGAATTTGTGAGATCCATCTCTCTCTTCAAGCACAAGAACCTTGTTTAGTTTTATCTGGCAATAAAAACTGTTCACTTTCATATGTTCTGTTTTATCAGAAAAGTAATTTAAAATCATTTCCCCAATGAATACAGACAAAAAGAAACTAATGGATATTTTTAAATTAATGGAGTTCTCAAATCCTATCTGTAGAACTGCTTTAGTTATCTATAAGTTTTGTTACGAGTATATACATTTTTAAATTTTATCCCCTTTATTTATTTCCAACTGTTTTCAATTTATTCCTCCATTATGGATAAATAAATCAGGATCTGCATTACAGACAACAGGCATCATATATTAAATAGGCATTAAATAAAAATATATTGCATGAAAATAGGATTTTTTGCCTAGTTTTCCTTTGATAGCTTTTTTGAACTTAAATTCAGGTTGTGGCCGAGTGTAAGAACATTTTTAAAGACTTGATAATAGCTGGTTTAGGGTGATTAAAATGTCAGGAAAAGTCATATAAATAAAAATGAATTTCATCTTTTAAAATTCTTCCCCATGTTACAGACCATTCCATGTCATAAACCAAATAAAAGCAAAAGTGCAAACATTTTCTTTCTTACTTCAAAGGGGAGCTCAGTTAATTCTAGATTTCCAGAACAATCCAGTTTCTCTAGATTTTCACAGTCTCCCAGTTCTGGAGGAATGCTCTTCAGATGGTTGAAACGCACATTGAGTTCCTTCAGGTTCTTCAAATGACCTGTCATCAGAAAAAAACAACATGCATGGTGTAGGTCCATTAAGGTCTTTTAAGGACAAAAAGCAAAACGAAGATGTAAAACATTTGTATAAATGATGGTGGGAAAGGCATTAAACATAATTCTGTGTTTGTTTTTTAAGCACTCTGATTGAATGTCTGCTCATCTTTTATCCTGAGCATTTTGGTCCTTGCAGAGCATTTTTTCCTTTTTCTTTATCTGTTTAACCCTTTGTGAAACTACAGGCTAGGTGAGTGTGGGGGATTTGTCCCCTATGTAGACTGGGTCAGGGGCCAGCACCCACAGAGCGCAAACCCCTTTGAAATCACATGATGAAGGAAGTAACAGGCAATGGCTTTGAAATGGTCCAGTTCCTAGGAAGCACAGTGACAAGCTATGGCCTATCGGTGGACTCTAATTGGAAGTGAGCTAGGTACTGAAATACACACAAACCTCTATGTATGTGCTAAATGACTCAAGCAAGGAGTCATTGTTTATAGGCTGCATGTAATTCATTTATCTTTGGCTTCAGATTTGCATTTACTAATTATGATGTATCGTGCTTCCTAAAGAATATGCTTTTAAAAAGCCTAAGTCCATTTCACAGGCAGGAAGTGAACACACTAAGAATATCAGGCAATAACTGGATTGATGGAGAAACACTGAATCCCAATTCTGTCTTGATTGAATAAATACATGACCAATACCAAACCAGAAACTAGCACAAGAGTAAATATATTTAATATTCCAAAAATCATGTCACGCATGTTCTAAGGCATTGAATACCTTAACATTCTTAACCTAATTTTAAAAATTAGAAAACCAAAATTATTGTTTCCTTTTGCAGAGCAGGCACTCAAAATACACATTTCCTGACATTTTATAAATGAGAAAGGGAAACATACAAAGACAGTATATTGGAGGCAGGGCCACTTCTGAGTCAGCTTTGGTGGTCCCACTGTTAGAAGATAATGGTGATGCTGTGGAGGTCAGTGGCCCCTCTAACTTACCCACCTGGTATACACTGCAACCTTACAGTCAACTACTGGTGTCAAAATAGCAGGATGGATATGGGGGCTGATAAAAAAATAAGGAAAGGCTGCTTTTCTGGGGAGGACTGGAGAGCATGTGATCAGACTAATGATCGCCACAGCCCCAGCTTCTGTAAGACAGTATATTGCACAATCCTTCTTTAAATAAGGAAAGTGGAAGATTGGCATAGATGGTGTGAATGTTCTAAGCTGTCTAGTTTCCAGACACAGGAGAGTAAACTTATCTATTAAAGAGTTACCTGATCTGGTTGATGGAGGCATTTGCATTAGGGACACATTTATACCAACTGTATGTGCATTTATCATGAGGGGATGCAAAGAGAAGATGAGGTAACTGGAGAGAAAGCTGTATATGAGCTCCTTCTAGCTAGCTCAAAGAAAAAGTAACTTTCCTAGCTCAAAGGAAAAGCAATAGCTTTAGAAAGTCTGTCTCAAATATAACATTTTAATGATGTATAGACACTAAGAAATAATATATGTTTGTATTCAAATTGTTGTTCTCCATGCCACTTATTTCCACAATGCCTGATCTCACTATAGAAACACTACTTTTTCTTTCTCAACATTCTGGTAAGAACTTGGCATTATTCATCTGAGATGGGCTCAATTGTCTCCATCAGACGTGGTGAACAGCATTATCTTCAAGCACCATGAGCTTGAGGTTCTTGAGAAAACAGTCTTTCGGTGTGACAAGGCTCCCAAGACACAAAAACTAAAATAAAACGTTTAAGGCACTGCTATGGTCTGAAAATTTGTATGTTGAAATCCTAATGCCCAAAGGTGATGTTGTTAGTAGGTGGGGTCTCTGGGAGGTAATCAGGTTTGGATAAAGTCATGAGGATGGAGTCCCCACGATCGGATTCATGCTCTTGTAAAAAGATCCCACAGAGCTCCCCAGCCCCTTCCACCATGTAAGGATTCACTGAGAAGTCTGCAACCCAGAAAAAGGCCCTCAGGCCACCATGCTGGCACCCTGATCTCATACTCCAGAACTGCGAGCAATAAATTTATTTTGTTTGTGAACCACCCAGCCTGTGGTATTTTTTTTAAAGCAGACTGAACAGACTAAGACAGGTGTCATAGCTCCAGCACATTATATTTCTAAATAGCTAATGAGTCCATCCCTTCCTAGAATGTTCCAGGATCTTTTCCAACTGAAATGAAATCTCCCTACTTATAGCCCATTCTCCCAAGGCCCTCAGACCTAATTTCCAGAGAGGGGAATATAACCCAACTGAGGCACAATTTGTTGTCCAGAGGCTTCTTGTTCCTAGAGCCCAAGGAATACCTTAAGGAATTTACATACTTTAAATTATTTGAGTAAACATTATTAAATGATTTCAATCATTAGCTATTTTAAACCCATTTAACGATACTTCCTCAGGAGTTCCACAAAGGAGTTAAGAGGACCACCCACTGCCATGGTTAATTCCTTGATGTCAAATGTCAGAAATAATTGTCCTGATAATGAGAAAAAGAACACCCCATTTGGTGACCACTTTCCCCGCACCCCCTCTGCTCAGCCAATGCTCTGTAGTTCTCTAAGACAGCACTGTAAGAGATCCAACTCCACCTCCTTTACAAAATACAGCCATTCAACAGAAAAGAGCTCAAAACTCTTCATTCCCATGGTCCTCTTTCTTGACTATCTCATCCTGTAGCTGAGTTTTTTTAAAGTATTTGCCCAAGTTACTCAAAGTCAGACTAGAATCATACCTTCAGAGTCTCAGACCTAGTATCCAATTACTTAGTTTAAATTTAAAATATTTGAAGAACAAGTTAAATAAATCATCCCATAATCATCACTTAGCCATTAGGGAGAATGACAAAAGTTTGGATATTCTAATATTGAAAAATAACATTTATGTAAAGACAACAATAGAGTGGTGGTGGGATGAACTGGGAGATTGGGATTGACATATATACACTCATATGTATAAAACAGATAACTAATCAGAACCTGCTGTATAAATAAATTAATTAAGTAAAATTTTAAAAAAACGTAAGAAAAAGACAATGATGATGATGGTGGTGGCTAGCAAGTGTTGGGGGTTTATCTGTTCTAAATGCTTTCTTTGTATTAACTATTTAATCCTTACAATAACCTTGTGAAGTAGGTACGATTATTATCCCCATTTTGCAGACAGGGAGACTGAAAACCAGTGACCTGCCTAAGGTGACCTGCCAGTAAGTGAAAGACCCAGGCAGCCTGACCCTAGAGTCCACCCCCACCTTCATGGTATGATAAGGAGAAACAAGGCTTAGACTGGAGAACATGCTGTAAGCCCTTGTATGTAAATATGTTTAGCATGCATATATTTTAACATATGTGTATATAAATATTTTTAACATGCATATATATTTTAACACATATTTATAAATAGATATGGCTACAATGTAGATATCTAGAAGAACATGGGTTGTGTGTACAATTTTTTTTTTTTTTTTTTTTTTTTTGGCGGTACGCGGGCCACTCACTGTTGTGGCCTCTCCCATTGCGGAGCACAGGCTCCGGACGCGCAGGCTCAGCGGCCATGGCTCACGGGCCCAGCCGCTCCACGGCATGTGGGATCTTCCCGGACCGGGGCACGAACCCGTGTCCCCTGCATCGGCAGGCGGACTCTCAACCACTGCGCCACCAGGGAAGCCCTGTGTGTACAATTTTGATACCCAGGAAACTGTTAACAATCCTTACTGAGAGAGTTGACTTTACATTTTATTCCTTTCTAGAATGTTTAATTATTTTGCCCTGCTCATGACTGAGGTTTATGGGGATGATCTGTCTCCAAGAAGACTTGAGTGTCTTAGAAGAATCATAACAACTATATGCCCAGCACAACTATGTGCCTCACACACAAGACAAAGAGAAACAGTGACGATGATCGCGTGGACTTCACTCACAGCGCAGCAAGTGAACAACAAAATGACTGAAAATAATAGAACCTTGATCAAATTAGTACAATAAACTAAACTAAACTTATCAATGGACTAATATGTGGGAACAATATACTGTTATCTTATGTTTACAATAAATATATTATTGCATGTTTATTTCTAAAACTAATATGTGGGAACAATATACTGTGTCTCATGTTTACAATAAATATATTATTGCATGTTTGCATTTCTAAAACTAAAAGGAAGAAAAAACAAAAAGTTTCTAAACAGCACCGCTCACTCATGAGACTTGTTTCTGAGAAACTGGCAGATGTCAGTACTGCTGAGTTACACAGGTGAGACCCTGGCACCAACATCCAGAGGGGACGCCACGAACCAGCAGCTCTGGGAACACCCAAAACAGCCCGGCCCAGCGACTTCCTGCGGCAGCAGGAGGAGGAAGAATTCTCAGTATTGCCTGCTTCCCAGACAAGGGGCCGGAAGGCTCCAGCTAAGCAACATACCAATTTCAGCTGGAAGACAGGAGATTTGGTTTTTTGGCAGATCCAGAATCCTCATGGCTTGAAACAGCTCGATATACTTAGGAATGATCTGAATCAGGGTATTGCTTATGTGCCATTCTTTCAGGTGCGTCTGCTCCTTCAAGGAATCTGGGAGCTCCTGGAATAGAATGGATCCCATCGATCAGAACTAGCTCCTCCATATGTCGGAGTTCAGAGGCAGAGCACACAGAGCCAAGGAAAACATGCATTTATTTCAGAAACAAGAGGGGAGAGAGCATGGGTGAGAGCTTACCTGCCAGCTCTATAGCCATTCCAAAAAAGAAAGCAAGATGCTGCCGATGTCATTCATCTCACACTAGCAGATTAGCCAAATTTCAAAAGGGCCATGAATTCATGATTCTATTAAAGTCAAATGCCGAGTGAACACTGACAACCAGGCTCCCACCGAAAGCTACACATGTGTTATTTATTTACAACATATGGATTTAACATTTTCTAAAAATAAAATCTGGCCACATCTTAGATTTTAAAATGTGTGCTGCATTTCCCTTCCTCCGTACTAATCGCTTTTTTTTTTTCAGCAGACATCTTTTTCTTTTTTGAAGTGTAGTTAATCTACAATGTTGTGTTAGTTTCAGGTGTATGGCAAAGTGATTCAGTTATACATATATACGTAAAAGAATATATATATTCCTTTTCATATTCCTTTCCATTATAGTTTATTATAAGATATTTAATATAGTTCCCTGTGCTATACAGTAGGACCTTGTTGTTTATCTATTTTACATATAGTAGTTTGTATCTGGCCAACATCTTTTGAGCCATGTTATGTCCAGGCAGACTCATGTTTGGCACTAGAGATACAAGAAGGAATCAGGTAGCTCTGAAACTAATCGCTTTTTAAAATATTTGATAAACACCTAATACTTGCTGTGCCAAATTTCTAAATGTTTTTATGAGTCTTTAACAGAGAAAGAGCCCAGAAGGACAGTGTAGAGACCTGGATGCCGAGCCATGTTCTAGGGGCACCCCCTCCCTGGGCCCTCACTTCTGAAGTGACAGAGAGGAACTCAGCCATATCCAGGGCCTCCCCTGGCTCTAGTGTTCTGGGATAAAATTGTAAAGGTGTTGAGAAGTGCTTAAGGCTTTAGAGGGGGCTATTTGTCCAGTTGAAGAAATTCAGTTCACAGGATTACGAGCCCCCACTGCAATGAGGTATGCTGAGCACTGAGGGACATGCATGTCCCCTGACCTCATGGAGCTGACCACAGCACATCAGCTGCGAAGTGGGGCAGGAATGTGCAGGGGAGAGGTCGGGTGGGGTGGAGGTAGCAATCAGAAGGTCCACAGTGACCCTTGCTTGGTACCTGGTGCTTATAATGGGCTTTATGATCATTGCTATTGGATACGTGGATTAAGCTTTTAACTTGCAAAAGTACTTTCACCTTAAATATGCTTTCACGTAACAGTACCATAAGATAGGCAGAGGGGGCATGATGAAGGCCCACTTAAAAGAGGGACACTGAAACCCAAAGACATTTAAATGGGTCACTTAGAGTAAGGACAGGCTACATAGTTTCAGGAACTAGTACAAAATGAAAATGCAGGCCCCTTCTAAAAATTAAGAATTTCAAGATGGTGACAGCAGAGCATTACATCAAGCACAGGGCCCCTCCCAGCATAGGGCCCTGTGTGACTGCCCCCGGCACCCGGGCCTGGCAAACCCATCTCGGCACCTCCTCATCCTGATCTGAATGCAGCCCACACCAGATCAGAGGGTTTCCTCCTGCCGCTGAGACAAGATGACGAGCTGGGGCATCAGGGAGCTGACCCTAGGTCATAAAAACACTCTCTCTTTTTTTTTTTTTTTTTTTTTTTTTTGCGGTACGTGGGCCTCTCACTGTCGTGGCGTCTCCCGTTTCGGAGCACAGGCTCCGGACACGCACGCTCAGCGGCCATGGCTCACGGGCCCAGCCACTCCACGGCATGAAAACACTCTCTCTTTTGAAGCTTCAATTATCAAGTGTCTCATAAATAACTTCTCTCATATTGCTCTTCCAATAATGGCACACTTGGAAAGGTTATTATGCCTTCCAAAATTATATCCATAACTATTGTTAATAACATGGGAAAATCTTAAGATAGCGTGTTAAATAAAAATAAAAGGAACGGGGTAAAGATGGCAGATTGAACACAACACAGACACTTTTGCTCCTCTCTAAAATTCCATGAAAGATGACAGTAAAGGAATTCTTTTTTGAAGATATAAACCTTACAGAGGGCAAAGAGAAAGAGAAGGGAGGCAGCAGCAGGAAAATGCTGGTAGCTGGAAAACTGGAAGATGGTAACCCACCTCCCTTGATCTGCTCAACCTTAGACCAGCAGCAGCAGGAACAATAAGACACAACCTGAACTTCTCACCAGAGGCTCCCGAGGCTCTCAGGAAGTGGAAGAGCCGGGCATGTCTGGAGGTGAGAGTGGAAGGCAGGGCTAAAAGGAGGAGGTCAAGTTCAAAGTCTGCCCCCCATCCATGTCACAGAACTACTGCCCCTGTAGAAGACTGAGGCTTATCCACTGGAGGGATTAACCAGAGTGTCTGGATTGGGGACCATCAGGCACATCTAGGGAGGGAGGCAGCAACCACAGGATGAGTGATGGAAGCTGAGACTTCCCCACCCAGCCCTCCTCTCTGTCCAGAGCACTGGCTGCCAGACCTGTCCCTGCCTGCAGGATGTGAGAGGATCCTCTCTGTGGGCACTCACCAGCTGCAGACAAATCATAAATATGCACTCCTGGGGCGGGGGGTGGGGGGAACGTGCTGGAGACATGGGGCTCCATAGCAACGCCCTCCAAAAAACGAAGCCTTCACCTGACACACACTTGGAGCTTCCAGTTTCTCAGTGCTCCTGACACCCTGTGTCTCCAGACCTCCCAGAGAGTCCCAACATGCCAGACCAACACAAACACCCCAAAAAGAAAAAGGAGACTCTGAAAGATGGAAACTTCCTCCAAAAAAAGCTATCAATCCCAAGATAAGTAAGAACAGCCCCCATGAAATGAAAACAGGACAAAATTTTTAAAGGAAAATTTAAGACTCATCCATAAAAGCAGAAATATAAAGCCACATTACAGGACTCATTCATTCACAAAACAAACAGACAGCTCTTGGAAATTAAAAACTTGACAGTAGAAGTGAAATTTTCTATTGAAAAGTTGTTCAGTAAAATTAGAGAAATCTCCCTGAAAGAGCAGGGCCCAGGGCCTGGGGTCTTCCAGCTCACAAAGAATGCCTGACCCCTGACACCCCCATCCGAATCAGGTACCCAAGTCATAGGTCACAGCCCCACAGCCGCTCCAAGGAACCCCAGGGGAGCTCTCCCCACCCAGTTCTCAAGTCCCCAGAAGCTCCACCGCCCTGTCCACCTCTTGCTGACCTCCTGCAGAGGCCAGACCTGCTGCCTGGTGTGATGTTAGAGGCCAGAACTCCCTCGCCGCTGTGAGCACTCTAAGACGGCGAACATCCTTTAATGGAGCTTTTCACTCCTTAAGCAGAGGCAAGACTGAAACACAAATCTCTCTGGGGAAGGGATACAGCAACTAAAATTCATACTAATGAATGCCTGAGGCCCCAGAGTCTTGCCTTCGGTGGGTACCCATGAGGATAAGGTACCAGCTCAGGGAACCGAATGCAGGGGACAAGAAGGCTGTAAGTAATGAAGACAACATCCACATAGTTCACCCTGGGGTCTCCCTAGCCTGCTGACTCATAACCCTCTTCCTATCCCCCGACCATACTAGGCACTCACTAAATGCCCTTTAAAGTGGTTTTCCAAAGGTGCTGTGAGCCGAGAGGACTCAACAGGTTCCCCAAGCGGGCTGGGATCGTGTTTGACCACGGCACACGAGAATGATTTACCAGCAGTATTTAATTAGAAATCCAGACAGGCCCTCCTTCTTGCCCCAGAAAAGGCAGTATCCATGTATCCACTGATCTCAATGATGCGGATGCAGGAGAAAGACCACCAAAGAGGTTTCAGTCATAGTCTCTCCCAGTCTTATAGGGCTGTGTCGCTAACAAGACAGTGTCACAGAATATCCGCTCGTTTAATCCTCACAACAGCCCTCTGAGGGGGTCAAGGCAAGCATTAGCACCACTGAACAGGGAAGGAGATAAAATGTATACAAATGGAGCAAACAGCCTCAGGTCACACGGCCAATAAAGGGTCACCCAAAATATACGGTCTCCCAGTCCAGAGTCCTTTCAGCCACAAAATGGTGGGATAAAAAGAGATGGAGAGCAGGTCCCAGACAACTCTGTCCCACTGAACAGAAGATAGCCCGAGCTCATTTGTGCCGCCACCCAGCGCACACACACCATGTGCTGCTTCAGCCACGAAACATCAGAGCGCAAGCAGCCCTGAGATGCCTCTCCAAGCCAGCAGCAACTTGGGGGAGTGCGAGCAGGAAGCACCTGTACACACCTGAGGCAAGAAAAAGGGCACATCTTTGTCCTGGCCTCAGAAACTCAGAGGAAAACTGGCTGAAGGGTCTGCGAAATTCCTTTGCGGCTCTACACTCTGTGACAAGTCAGCAAAGTCACCGCGCACAGAGGGATGTTAGGAAAGTCAAGTGCTCAGCGCATTAAAAAAAAAAAAGGCAAGAAGTTCTTTTTAATGGGCAGGGAGGGGTGGCGAGGAGGCGGCAGAATCGGACTTTTTTTTTTTTTTTTGGCCACACCCCGCGGTTTGGCGGAATCTTAGCTCCCCTACCAGGGATTGAACCCGTGTTCTCGGCAATGGAAGCGCGGAGTCCCAACCCCTGGACCGCCAGGGAATTCCCAGAATCAAGCATTGTAAAGGCTGTGCCATCCTGAGGAGCCGCTGGGGTCCCAGTCCCTCGCAGCGTCGTAAGGATCCAAGGGGATCCCGCTGCTCTTTTCAAGACTGCACAGTCCTTCACCGCGGAAAAGACGCGAGAACCCGGTTCAGAGCCGCCAATGGCTCCTCCGCATCCAGGGGAAAGCTCTCTAAAGACAACAGCAACAGCGCGCACTGGGCCAGGGTCAACGGCCTGAGCTCAGCCTAGCAGCAGACGTCGGCCGCAGCGCTGCAAAGAGCCTCGGCGTGCTGTAGGGACCGAAATGCATGGACTCACCTTCCAGTGCTGCCCCGTAAGTTCAAACACAAACTCACTGCTCCGTTTGTCTCTCTCCTTGGAAATTGCACTCTGCCTTGCGAGGGAGCTCCTTTCAATCTTGTCCAGAAGCCTCACGCTGGTGTCTATGAAGCCATTCTTGCAGTACGCAGCCTGGGGGATGCCCTTCCTTCTGCACTCGGCCACGAAGTTCCACTCCTCCTTTATCCTAAAACGGGCAGCAGAGGTCTCGGTTATCTCCTGGGGAATCGCCATCACCTGCCTGGAGAAGTCAGGCGGGCCACCTGGGCGCAAGCGCAAGCGCAGTCCTTCTCATCACCTGCAGTTTCCCAGCAGGAGACAAGCCCTCCCCTCCACTTCCGCCCCCTCTCCCGCCCCTCCTTTCTTGTTTCCTCTGCTGTGGTGGATATGGGGTGTGGGGGAATCTTAAACCCTCAGAGTTGTGAAGTATTAGCAAATCTGACTTTAAAAGTAGAGGAGGTGAGTTAACATGGCTAAAATTTCTACCAAAATTACCTATGCCTTTGATTAATTACAATATCCCTTGATATTATGAGGTGACACCCAAATTTTTCAAAAATGCAAGGCCAGGGCTTCCCTGGTGGCGCAGTGGTTGAGAGTCCGCCTGCCGATGCAGGGGACGCTGGTTCGTGCCCCGGTCCGGGAGGATCCCACATGCCGCGGAGCGGCTGGTCCCGTGAGCCATGGCCGCTGAGTCTGCGCGTCCGGGGCCTGTGCTCCGCAATGGGAGACGCCACGACAGTGAGAGAGGCCCGCGTACCGCAAAAAAAAAAAAAAAAAAAAAAGCAAGGCCACAGGAATCTGATGATCTTTCAGGAGCATATGGATAGAAATAAACAGGCAGCCCCAGTTTATAAAATTCGACTTTAGAAGGTCATCCATCAGCCACCTTGGGAAACTTCACTCCTGCAGATGTACCTGTTATTCATAAACTCCAGTTCCAATCTGACACTGGAGCTGGCCCAGGACTCCTCAGCCTCCCCATCACTCCCAGCACCTTCTTGTTGCTACTTCTCTGACATATTATTTTATAGTTGTCTTATCCCCCCAGCTTGGTCATAAGCTCCATCATGATGGACTACGTCTTGCTGCCCTCCAGATGCTCACGCCGTCATTAGAACAGCGTTTTGCACCTGGGGGCCTTTCTCCATGTAGAGATTTGATATCTGCTTGGAGCCTTTAACAGGTTAACATTCTATGTGGTACAAAAACAAGGTTTGTTGTGGTTTTCCTTCAAATCTATCACACAGAGACATTGTCTCAAAATAAGGTAGCCTGCCTTGGATAGGAACTTGGTGCATTCCACACTCAGGAAGGCATCTGGGCCCTACTCAGCCCAACTCAGGGACTTGGTGACAGGCAGTATCCCAGGCTTCTAAAAGAGGGCTCTTTTAGAAACAGGCTGCTGATGCAGCCCTGGTCTCTACAGGGCCTGAAGCAATACAAATGCTGAATAAAACAAAACAAAACAAAAAACCCTGTAGTAGAGGGTCAGTCCTAGTATGGAAACTCTCAGGTGGTACCCGAAGGAAAAGTGCACTAGAATCACAGTGGCTCTGTTGTCGCAGGAAAGCCCAGGAGCCAAGTGGTCAGGAGGGGCAGGAACAGAGGAAAGAGTCTGGGGCAGAAACATCTTTGAGCACTGGGCACATGGAAAGTCCTGGCCTGGACTACCAGGCACTGTCAATTGTAAGAAGAAATGTAAGGCTGATAAAAGCAAGAGACTGGTGGATATCCTTTTTCTGGAATACTGGAGACTTGGTGGATTTTATCTGATCCTATAGGGGTATGCACCTTTGTCATTGACTAAGCTATTTTACAACTCGGCAGAGATTGAAGTTAACTTGTAGAAAATTGATAGCAATACAAATCATTCTTGTCTACAGACATTCTTGTCTCTCGGTGTTAAATACATCTATATGCTGATGACGCGCAATTATATATCTCCAGCCAAGACGTCCTCAATGAATCCAGCCTCCTTGCCTCCCAGCATCTCCACCTGAATATCTAAAAGGCATCCCCCGAATTTACATGTTCCAACCCAAACTCCTGATCTTCACCTGTAAAACTTGCTTTTTCCTCTGTCTTAGAAAAAGCCTGCCAGTTGCTCTGGTCAAAAACCTCAGGGTCATCTTTGACTCTGTGCTTTCTTTCATATCTCACATCAAATCCATCAACAAATAGGGTCATTTCTACCAGAATCTGACCATTTCTCACCACCTTCACTGCTCCCATCCTGGTCCAAGTCACCAGCATCTTCATGTAGGCACCACTCTTGCCTCCCTACAGTCTAAACTCATCCAGCATTTTGAGTGAGCTTGTGACAGTGTCAGTCACACCATGTCATGCCTCTGCCCATACCTCTCATTGGTTTCTCATTTCACCCAATAAAAGCAAATGTCTCACTATGGCCTACAAGGCCCTGCGGATCTGTGCGCTCCCCTTGCCTGTCTGACCTCATCCACTACTGCACCCTCACTTACTTTTTCTGGCCCAGTCACTCTAGCCTCCTGGTTCTTCCCTGAACCACCCAGGCAAACCCCTGCCTCAGGGTATTTGCACTTGCTGTTATGTCTACCTGGAGTTCTTGATCCCAGACTTCTGCAGGGCTGGTTCCCCAGGACTATGTGCAAATGTTTCCCCCTTAATCAGACTTTTTGCTCTTCAGACACCACTTCAGGTATCAGTGGAGTTTCGTGCTTGCTATTAATCTAGGAGAACAGGAGCGCTTGAAAAAAACTATCTTGCTGACGGCATTGGCTAGCACAGCTACTACCCTACCCAGGTCCTAGTCACAGGTTGCTGAGCTGGGGAAAAGCACTGGGTAATCAACTACCTGGGGCTTCAGGATCTACACATGAAATCTACAAATAATGTAATAAAACAGATAAATTTTAAAATACCAGCACATGGAGAAATAGGAATTTAATACCAGGAGAAAGTGCTGGAAGAGTTAGAAGTGAGCTCCTCTGGGAAATACTAGCAGGGGCTTGGGGTGATTTGCTTTTCATTATTAGCTCTTCTGTGTAATTTAAATATTTTTAATACCATATGATAAAAATAAGTTTAAATATCTACCTGTAGCTCTAGTTCTGACTGTAGCAGTCAGGGATACAGGGCAGACCCTAGATCCAAGGCACTGATTGAAATAATAAAAGAAATCCTTCCAGAATTTTCACAGCCAGCAGCACAGCTGCAGCGAGTTCTTGTATTCAGTGAGCACTTTTCAGATTAATGTCTCTAAATTTTCTTTCTTCATTTCTTAGACTGAACCTGAAGGTAGAGTCTAGCAAGGTAATGAAATGATACCGGTTAAGCCCTACTCAACACATCTTTCCTATATCACAAATTACAAATTGATGTAACTATTTCACATATCTTGGTACAGCCAACGTAAGTGGAGGGAAAAAGGAAATTAGATGCGCTACTTAAAAAATAGTTAAATACCAAATCTTTTTTGGATTTCTGTTTTAAATGTTTGATGTCTTAATCCCTTTGAAACCTGGAGAAAGTCACAATGAGAATATAAACTATTTTTACAAATCCATTCTCTTCCTTCAGAGTAATTAACATAAATAAAATGTCATTGTCTTTATATTTTATCGCCCATATAATTGAATAATTGTCCCCTTAAGTCAGTTTTAGTAGCATTTCAAATACAAGATAAACATACAAAACAATGCCATTAGAGCTCTATTCATTAAATCAGTAAGTGTGCAAATAAAATACTCTTTCCTTAGGAAATGAGCCCACAATCTTAGTCTAGATGGCAAATAGGCTCACTGGATGAAAAATTCCTCACTTAGAGCCTAACAAAAGCATCTCTATCTCTCCATCTAAATGACTGAGTTTCATTCAAGTAGAGTGATGTTCCGTACTCATAACTTTTAAGTGTTGGTATATACCTCATGGAACAAATACAGTATTACAAAATGAAATACCATGAAGTGAGGTAACAGAACAAGCTAAACGGTTTTGCCTGGTTCCGTACATTTAAATTAACCAGATAACTGCCTTTTATACAAAGCATTCATCAGTACATTAACTTTCAGGACTTCCCTGGTGGTCCAGTGGTTAAGACTCCGTGGTCCCAATGCAGGGGGCCCAGTTTCAATCCCTGGTCAGGGAACTAGATCCCACATGCATGCTTCAACTAAGAGTTCACATGCCACGACTAAGGAGCCCACCTGCCACGACTAAGACCCGGTGCAACCGAATAAATTAATTAATTTAAAAAAATACATATATATATGTATATATTAACTTTCCCACAGGAAACAAATTTTGAGAAACTAAAGGGTAACCTTCAAATAGTCCTAACAACAACAGTATAAATTATAATATGAAACTTAAAAAATACCTGCCAGAAAAAGGTAAATTCACTACATTCATGTTTGCAGGTCCTGGGAAATTAATGCTTCTTCCTGAACATCACATTCCTCCAGCCACCCTCCCAGTTCCTCCTCACCACCCAGCCAGTTTGGTGGCTGTTTTTCTTATCTTGAGCTAGAAAATCCTAACAAATTCCCAAGAAGTTTTCTGTCTTAGGTTAAGATAAGGCACAGCACAAGCCCTATGGCACTGAGCCTAATGCAGGACCAACCCTGTGTACATGAGACGTGTGAATGTGGACACAAAGCCATTTGGCACCACGATGGAAGACAGAGATCAAGAGTCAAACGTGACTGCAAAGTGGCTTCCAGGGCACAGTTCTCAGAGCGAAGCTCCTGCAGGTGGCTGCTGTTCCCAGAACCCACAGGCGGTTACCTCAGCTACAGACACCTCCATAAACCTCCCAGGGCTTGGGTCCCCATTCAGCAAGCTGTCCCACCCTAGAGTAACCCCAGATGCTGGGGGTGGGAGGAAGCTGGAGCAGGGCTGAGAACCACTTTGGGCTCATAGGGCGCTGGGACCTTGTGTAACTCGTGCTCATGTAGATCCCTAAGATCCTCTGCCATGGGTGTTGCCTGGTCTGAGGGTTCCAATTCTTAAATTTAAGATTCATGTCATAGTGGATAATCTCATATTAGTGGCAAGTGAAAAGACAGTCCAGCTATCTGTGATTACAGCATTATATAGGGGGAAAGGTTTGGCCAAATCCTGCATTTACCAGCCCTGTCAATTTGGGCAAGTTACTTAGGTCCTAACTTCGTCTTCAGACTGGGGATAATTATAACCACCTGGAAC